CCGCCGCTGCTGCTCGCCCCCCGCGCGGGGGACGCCGCCGTGATCACCGGGGTAAGCGGCCCGGGCGCACCTGTCTGCCCGCGGGGACCGCCCCGGCCTGGGACGGGGACCCCGAAGGGGAGGCGAGTGCGACGGGAGGGTCGCCCTGGGCGGGGGCGTCGGCCTCCGTCGCCCTTGGGCGCGCTGGGGAAAGCGCGCTTCTCCGAAAGCCGCGGGTGGCCGGGGACCCGGGGGCGTCGGGAGGAGCGTCCCCCCACCTCCGCCGTCACCACCTGCTCCCGCGTCCTTCTCCCTCTCCACCGACCACAACCTCGCTTCCTGCGTGTGGTTATTTCTGCGGCGCTGGAAGTTTCTTGCAGAGTCTCTCAAGTGCTTTCGGAGGCGCTCCAGCTTGGAGCCTCGACATCGGGCGGCCCCCTTCTGAAATGCCAAGGGACGAGACGCGCACCCCAAGGCCCGGGAGTCTCAGTCCCACCTGCAAGGAGTCTGCTCCCCGATGCGCCTTCCGCAGAAACCCTGTGAATAATTTGGTCCAGGGCCATGCGTGCGCTTAGAAAAGCAATGGTGGGCGCCTCCTTCGGGGTTCCGAGGCTTTTTTCCTACTGGCGTCTGGAGGTTCTCCCTGTAGAAGTTTTTAGTTTCTAATTCCTGATGACCACCTCCAGTGATCCGGTGTAATTATGGAGTAGGGTGCCGTGTAGATAGACCTTGTTTAAACTTACAGGAGACGTCTTCATTTTCTTAAGTAGGAACTGGCTTAGTTCGCTCTTACTCCCAACAATTTGGTATGGATCTGAAGAATGAGTTTACAGAGCTGAACTTAAAAGTCTGGTTTAGTTTACATCAACAATGCAAAACTACCACCATTTCCTGATCGTTTAACTGCTTTACTGTTTTTGTTTTGTTTTGTTTTTTTAAGTGTGGGATTATCTTACATCTTCATTAAATTACTACATACATTTAAGCGCACATTATAGGATTTTAAATTAAGCGTCTATATTTGAAATAATGATACATGGATAATAAAATAACATTTAACTTTAAAGGAAGTGGCATTGCCTTGAGGAAATAAGGCTCAATTGTCTGTTAGTTAATAGGTATATGGCATTTTGGAAGTCCTTGTGCTGTTGCAGCATTTGTTTATAGTCAACAAGTATTTAATCATAAGTTCTGATATTTATTAGACTAGAGGCTTTTTAAAAAATTACTTGCATAGCTTTGTCAGTAGACAGTTCATGTGGTTGGAAGAAAGTTTTAACAGGTCTTTCTGCTACATGAGAATTGAAACATGATTGGATTCCCCCCCCCCTTCCCCTGCTGGCTCATTTTAAATTTCTCCTAATCCTCTGAGCCCAAGACCCCTTGGCAATATAAGTATCTTTTTGTTCCATTCACGGGACAACACTATTTGAATAGATCTGCAATGGTTTAAGAATAAAAGGCATTAGGAAACAGCTGTCTAATTAAAAATATATAAACCTATGCAATTCTTTGTAAATTTTCCAAGAACTGAGGCTTTTTGTTACAAAATAAAATTTTATCACACTGGATGTCTGTTAGGTTTAGACTGGGCTTATTATATAGTTATGTGTGCTGTTTTTGTTGTTTTAACTCAGTGTTATAGAGAATTTAAAAAATTTCTCTAAAGCAACATGGCAATAAAATATAGTTATGCCTCCATGACAGGAACCATCTGGAGTCAAATGAAAACCTCAGTAACTTATCTAGATATATTGTATATAGGATGTTAAACATCCAAGTGATTGAATTTTAAAAGATTTTGGCTGGATTTTTGATTGTCTCGTAAAAAGATCTACTGGGGCCCCAGAATTAGATATTGAGCATCTGTTGAAATGAAATACTGGCTGAAACATCCACCTTAGATCTATACATTTTTTGGTAATATGTTAAGGTATTTTGAAATTGATTTATATGTCCATGTAGATTTGTTAAAACCATATTGGAAAAGATCGCTGACTAGACATCTTATTTATGAAGTGTAATGGCCATGTATACATGATTTCTGGCGTACAGGTAAAAATTGGAAAATGGAAATGTTTATATATTGACCTGTAAATTTCAAACACCACAAGGTGAAAATTATAGTTTTTAATCCAGATACTTATTTTAAATAGACTGAAAAAAATTCTCATGGAGGAAGTAATTGAATGCTAAAGTAAGAAGTTGGTCACTTTTACTAAAAAAGAATAATGAGAAGAATGTGCCCATATACGTATTTGTGTTTTGAGAAGTTGAAGGATTGTTTTAGTTTCCAATGAGTGTACATTTAAATTTGTGGATATATTTTTATCTTATCACTAGCAAAACAGATTACTGCACACCATTTAAACAAACCATTCTATTTTTTGCTCTAGGAAAGAACAATAGTTCTTCAGATCCATTTTCATGCAAATAAATTTAGACTTTATTTCTATTTAATAGAGTATAGAGAGTCCTCTGTATAGAAATTCCTGATTCTTTATGTATTTACAATTTTTATATTGGAAGCAAGTGCTTTGAGTGTTTACTGTCAATAATTGCATCCATCACTTGCATTTCTTAATCTGCTGGATCTTATAGGATCAGTCCACTGATTTTGTAATGTACATATATGTATATCCTAAGTCAAATAATTTCCTCTTTGCAAATTACCCACCTGAAAGAAAAGTAATATAAGGAAAAAGTCTTAGTCTGTCCATTCTCAACCTATGAGATTTCTTTGTAAGGAGGAATTGGTGAAAATCAAGTCGGTGGTGTGAGAAACATCAAGTCTCATGAACCAAAATGCAAATATTTGAAAGGAAAAATGAGCACATCTAAAATTTACATCAGTGCCTTTATGGGTCTGGAGTGTTTCATGCCAGATTTAGAGACCATTTAAATCTCTCTTTAAAACTGGGCCCAATGTATTCTGCAGTTAATAGTCATAAAATCTTGTGATTCGATTTATGTAGTTCCTAATGGCCATGTATCGTATAAGATTAATATAGGCTTGTTCTTCAAGTTCAAAGCCAATTCAGACATAAAGCACTAAAAAAAGAGAACTGACTTCATTTTTTAAAAATCTTATATTTATTTAAGCTTTTCATAATCCAGGGGCTATTATATAGCCTAATTTTGAAAAAGTGGAAAAATCGATTCTGATCAAATTTTATTATAGATGTGTGCAAGCAAGTGAAGGTTATAGTTTGTTTTACATTATAGTTTGATTACTCAAGTCATGGTATTTGCATAGCCAAAGAGCATTTTCACTGCTAATTTTTTATTTCCTTAGCCTGAATCTTTCCTGTGATCTACATTTATCTTTGTTTATTACCTTTCAGGCCTGCGACAAGGACCCTCAGTGTGGTGGAGGCATGTGCTGTGCTGTCAGTATCTGGGTTAAGAGCATAAGGATTTGCACACCTATGGGCAAACTGGGAGACAGCTGCCATCCACTGACTCGTAAAGTTAGTATATGTATATATAGGTATTCTTGGTGGTTCTGTTGCAATAACTTTACTCTGAGCAAGGCCTGTATGATGTGAAGGCTGGAGATACATGACTGAAATTGGAAGTTAGAGAGAATAACAGTTGAAACCCCCCGCTTTCCATTTTAAAGAATTGTAACCTCTACCATTCTTACTCAGTGATAAGTTTCATATCACTGCTCTCATGGCATTAGAAACATTTTATCAAATAATTTCTAACACTTGACTTTGCTTAAAAATTACTTAGTACAAAAATATATGTTTACTCTTGTATGCTGCTTTGCAGAAATCAGAGTATTGAAGTTCTTGAAAAAAACTTTTAATATTCTACTAAGGCAGAAATAAGCTTTGTGTTTTATTTTTTCAGAAAATCATCAATAATACAAATACTCTTGTATCTTAATTTAAAAGTTCTAAATTTGACTCCGTACCTATAGGATACATTGTTCATAATTTTAGAGATTAATTATATTTAATTTTCCAATTTACTTTTTTGGCAACTCAATAGCACAATGACCTCAACAACACTTTAGAAAGGTTATCGACAATAAATGCCATGACAATTGAATGGCAAAATTGGACAGGACTTTAGACATTGCATCCCCAGTGGTTGCAGACCCACCTGTCTGCTGGGGTCAGGCTAGTTTACCTAAATAGGAGGAAGGAGGTGGATGAGAGACAGAAGGAAGAAGAAAAGTGTGTGGAATTAGAGATCCTTGGCCTTCAGATGAAGAGCTTTTAGACACAGTATGGTCTCAGCAAAATTCCCTAGGAATGTCAGGTTGCAGTATCTTCTTCTAGTCCCACCTCCTTGTTTTACCCATCAGTAAAGTACAGTCCAGAGACAATGAGATGAGTCCTCGGCGAGGTAGCTTGTCAGAGGCAGAATGCAGTCTCTCTATAGTGTTCTTGCTACACGTTGCATACTCTCATTTTAATACAGGTCAGATATTTTCAGAGCAAATTGCCTTCCAGTTTTTTATCTTATTTTTTCAAATATCATCTCAGGTTTAAAACTGTAGTAGAGCCAAGCACCTTTCCTGTACTTTACAGCCCCAGATAACTGTTGATACTTTGGCCTTCTAAGAGTGAACATAATGAAATAAATTGTGATCCATTGGCCCAGGCTTAGCTCTGTGAGCTGTAGTACGGATTCCAGTTGTTTGGGCCTATTTGAAAACTGAATTTGCTTTTTGAGTTTCCTGTGGTTGCCTTGTGAAATACTTCCTGTTAACGTTTAAACCATTCCTCCCTGTGGTTTTACCACATAAGACTGTCATTTTTTTTTTTTTTTTAGTTTTTTTTTTTTTTAATCAATATTTTTTATTATGATGTTGTGGGGTACATTTAAGGGTTAGGTGTACAATTACATTTCATTCAGGCACCCTGTTGATAAGAGGTGTTTCCCTGTCCCCAGACAGATATTTGCTACTGTTAATCCCATCTCCCTCCCCACCCCATAGTTTCCCAGTACCGTCAGTCATTTTCTTATAGTATTACATTGGATGTTCAAGGTCCATTATATGAGTGAGAACATGTGATACTTGGATCTTTGTTTCTGTGAGAGGTCACTCAGTATTATAGACTCTAGTTCCATCCAGGTTGCTGCAAAATTCATGATTTTGTTCTTTTTTATGGCTGCATAGTATTCCGTTGTGTATATGTACCACATCTTTTAATCCAGTCCTCTTTTGATGGGCAGAATGGTTGCTTCCAGGTTCTTGCTATTGTGAACAATGCTGTGATAAACATACGTGTGCAGGCATCTTTTTTATAGTGATTTGAGTTCTTCAGGATATATTCCCAGTAGGGGGATTGCAGGGTCATATGGGAGGTTGATATTTAGAGCTTTTAGGAATTGCCACACTGCTTTCCACAGAGGTTGCACTAGTTTACACTAAGACTGTCATTTTAAAACATGCCATGCACCCTTTATTCTTAGATATTTTAAGACAGGTTTTAAGCTGTTAGTTGTGTGTCTCAATACCAAACTCCCCACAGAGAGGTGACCCTGGCCCAGTCACCTTTGGCATTGATCTCAGTTTTTTCATCACCCTTCTTAAATTTTGAGTCATCCTTTGTACATTTAAGTCATTGTCTCTGAAAAGCTTACTTTTAATCTTCTTTAAGACTATATAGTGTGTTTATATGGTGTTAGTATAATTTCACATGCCCAAGATACTAGAATCACATAGCTTGTTTGCTAACATATCAAATGACAAAATGCCACATTCTGTGGAACTGTTTTAGTGTTAATGGCAATCATAGTTGCCACTGATTAAATGCTCTGATATACCAGGTCCTCTATGTTAAATGTTGGATGTGTATTTCTTACCTAATACAACAAGCCTGTGTAGTAGGGTTTTTTTCCATGTTGAACGTTAAACCTCAGAGAAACTCAGTAACTAGTTGAGGTAACACAGACCATGAATAAGAGAGCATCCCACGACTTGGGAGGCTGAGGTGACTGGATTGCCTGAGCCCGCCGGTTCGAGACCTGCCTGGGCAATTTGGAGAGACCTCATCTCTACAATAAATAAAAAATTAGCCGGGCGTGGTAGCGTGTGCCTGTAGTTCCAGCTACTTGGAAGGCTGAGGCGGAAGGATCACCGGAGCCCAGCAGGTCGAGGCTGCGCGGCCACTGCACTCCAGTCTGGGCGACAGAGAGACTCCAACTCATAAAAAAAAAAAAAAGAATAAGAGAGCAGACACGGAATTTCACTTCTTTCTGATGTTCCATTGCTTATGTGGTCTCAGTCACTATACTCTTTTACCTCTTTGAAGGCAGTAGTTGTGTTTGAGCATTTTTTAGTCCAGTCAGCCAAAATTGATTTGTGTGGATTACAGAGACAAAATGTTCACCAGAATGAGTTATAATAGTTCAGACTGGGAATTTGTGTCATCCATTAGTTTTGATGAGTTTTCCAAATCTGAGATATTTAAAAGAGAACCAAATTCTGTTTCCCCAGTTCCTAGATAACTTCAAGTTCAGTTTTAGTACAACATCAATTCTGAAAATAAACAAAAGTAATCATTTCCTATAAACCTAGCTGTACTTCCATGGGTTTTTTTGTTTTGTTTTGTTTTGGAGTTGGAATCTCACTCTGTGGCCAGGCTGGAATGCAGTGGCGCCATTGGGGCTTACCGCAGCCTCAACCGCCTGGGCTCAGGCAGTCTTTCCACCTCAGCCTTCCTAGTAGCTAGGATGACAGGCGCACGCCACCATGCCCAGCTAGTTGTTTGTTTGTTTGTTTTGGAGTCAAGTCTTGCTATGTTACCTAGGCTGGTCTTGAACTCCTGGCCTCAAATGAACCTCCCTCCTGGACTTCCCAAAGTGCTGGGATTACAGATATGAGCCACTGTATCCACCAATATGATTTTGTTTTTATCACAGTTCTAATAATGAAATCTTTAAACATATTATGGCTTTCCTGGTTAAATTAAGTGATAAAATAATGAAAGTACTTATTTTTAAATAATATTTTAAGATTTTGTCTTTCCTCCTATTCAGATGCCCACTTTAAATGTGTTTCTAGAACTTGATTTGATAACTTTTCATATTATTTTTCTGATTTAAATACATTTTCAAAGGTTATTTTGATGACCTATTTTAAGAGTGGGCTCAGCATTGTTGCTTATTCCAGATAAAAGTCACCTATCCTCCCAAAAAATCTAATTGGCTGCAGAATATTTCTCAACTATATTCTCTTCAAAACAAATCAAGAAAAAAGTCTTTCATAAATATATTCTGGTGAACCTTATGCACAGTATTCAATCTTACTCTGAAGATTAATGGTGTATTAGTAGGTGGTAAAAATGAGAACGTTATATAGAAAGTTTTTTCCATTTTATTTTGGCTTAGTCATTTGTTTATTTGGGTAAAGTGAACAGTATTTGATGAATGAAACCAAGAACCACAGGCTGGAATTGATAGCCACTGAGTTTAGTTTACTGTTTTATTTCAGAGGCAGCAATAAACTAACTTTTAGAGTTGACAATCATTAGTAAGCTATTATTTTATAATTGTATAGTTTTTAACTCTTATGTTAGAGAATAAACATATAAGTGCCCCTAGGAAGAGCAAGATTTATATTTTCTAAACATATTTTCAAGTAAAAAATAGTTTAAGCAGGTATTTATTTTTAGCAATTACCTTTTTTGACAATTAAGAATTACTTATTGATTCATGTCTTCAGGAAAAGCTTTCTGGGGTTTTTTTGAAATAAATATTTTAATTTCTATTAATACTTTATATATTAGTATTATACTTTTCAAAGTTTATGTAGAAGATTAGCAATTTCCATTCCATTTTTTATGGTTTGGCTTTGTAAGCTTTAATTATGTAATACTTTAATATTCATTGCTTATTATTGTGTGATTTTTTTTTTTTCAATTTGAACCATTGTATTTCCTTCAAACAATCTTTTTTTTAATTTTCTTTTTTCTTTTGCTTCACTTTAAAACTTGACTGAAACATTTTCCTTTTCTGGAGGAAAAGTTTTCAGATGAAAACCTAAGTCTTATTTGCTTAAAAAAAAAAAAAAAGGAGATTTAAAAAATTATTAGTGGTTTGCATTTTAGAATCAAACTATGACAAAACCTTGTAAATTTCAGATTATGAAATTATTAAATTTTTTTACTTTAAATAATTTTATATATTAACTAAAATATAACATAACTAAAAAATTTAGTGAAAGATAGGTAAAAGAAAACATAATCTGCTATTTTTCTCTTCTTTCCTATGTTGATATCTAGAGCCACTATCTACACTGATCTCTCGAGATAGCATCATAGCTGTAGTTACAGGTTCAAATCAGCAAAGAGACTTACAAGGCATAAATATGCTTTAGTTTAGTACAGATTTTCTCAACCCTGGCACTATACACCCTTTACTCGGTTTCTCCCAATGTAACATTTTGCAAAACTACAGTACAATATTACAAGCAGGATATTGGCATGGATGCAGTCAAAATACAGAACATTTCCATCACTGCAAGGGTCCCTCACATTGCCCTTTTATAAGTGCTGTTTTCTCTTTTAAAGTGCTACAAATGAGTAAGAATCATGTTTTCTCAAAAATGCTGAATGTTCTGCCTTTTCCCAAGGCAAATTCTAGGCTTTTAGAAACTCTGAATTGAGTATTTGGTTGATTACAAAGTAAACCATCAAGTTTGGACTGAGTGGTCCCAATATGTATCTTCTCTAAGCACTTTTTCATACATTTGTGACTGTGAGATGTCTACTAACTTTGTCACAAGGTGTATGTAGATCTAGAAGCTAGTGATGGGCCAGTCCAGGAACTGGCAAACATCTACTGTACTGAGTATACAGTATTGGAAATCACGATTGTTGTTATTAGGAGCTCACAGATGTGAAGGGAGGAAAAAAATGGCCACAGGCTGGTGCATTCAGAGGCTATGGGGAGGGAGGGAGAAACACAGACTGGTTGGGTTTGAATGAGAAAAGGGCATCCGGGTATTAAGGAACCTGCAGTGCAGTCTAACCATTATGTTAAAGTCAGTCGAGGTAGATCCAAACTGATGCATATACGATCTTGGTGCCCTTGATAAGAGAAAGATACAAAGATAATTTTGAAAGTTTGACAAAAGCATGTGACCTTGTGAACACATTGCCAAGTAGGTCCTAGAGGGGGGACTTTGCAAGCCAAGGGCTCTGGCCTCTTTGGCTTCATGGTGAGTCCATCTCTGAGTTTGGTGACATGAATCATACTGGGCCTGCTCCGTGCTGGGCAAGTTCAGGGTGAGGGGAAGCCTCAGGACCCGAGATGGTCATCTGCTCATCTGTTGGCCTTTGGAGAGTTCATAGTCCACACAGGGATGGGGTGGGGGTATTAGCAGATATTTTCCAGAGTGTCTTCTGTATACCAGGCCAAGTGCTGTATCCTCATAAATAAAATGGACACAGTCATCCGTCCTCTTCAAAGAGCCTGGAGTCTAGGCATGGTGGCATTCGAAAAGATAACAAAACCTGGAAGAAAACATACTGCTTTTGACTATCAGCATTTTCTCCTTCTAGATGAGTGGCCTCAGTTGAGCACATTGCTTCACCTCAAGAGGAAGCCACTTAGCTCATCTCAGAACAAGGCAAAAATCTGACACTCGAGTTTGGGGTAATGCTCATACATGATGCCTTATGAGGCCTGACCCGTGGTGGGCGTCTTTGTCATTTTTCGTTTCTGCTGACAGGTGCTGACAGCTCCATGTGACAGGCCAAAGAGTGATCACAGTGTCATGATGCACAAAGCACAAGGCTGTGAGCACTGTGAGGGTGCTTAGTAGCTGGCACTGTCTTACTGGTTACCTGTCTTTCATCATTAAAATGTAAGCTCCATGTTGACAAGGGATTTTTCCTGTTTCATGTGTCACTGTATCCTCAGCACCTAAAATAAGGTCTGACATGTAGGTAGCACTCAATAAATATCCATTGGATGAGTAAATGAAAGAAACATACTTGGCAGTTTCCATTGATAGCATTTTGGCATCCTCATTATAGGTATATTTCACTTACTTCCAGCCCATTTTCCTTGGATATTGCTGCCTGTATCCGTTTTTATCAACCTCAGCACTATGGACATTTTGAACCAGATAATTCTTGGTTGTAGGGGCTGTCCTGTGCATTGTAGGGCATTTAGCAACATCCCTGGCCTCTACCCACTAGATGCCTATAGCACATCCCATGGCTCCCACTTGTGACAAACAAACACGTCTCTGAACATTGCCCCTGAATCACCCCTGGTTGAGAACTACTGGCCCATGCAGTAGTTTAGGTCTAGCCAAAAGGAAACTCAAAATCTCAGGGTCAGAATGGACGATAAAGGTCATTGATGATCACTTCTCATACTCTCCACTTGTAATTGTCTAAACCACTCCAGCTACACCCACCTCCTCTAATGTATTCTTGGTGACAGCAAAGGAGCCAGCCTTCAGCGTCCCCACTGACTCACACAGTGACAGAACCACTCTGAACACAAATCTATATTAAGCCGGTGCCCAGCATACCTACTTGTGGACACTGTCATTAGAACCTGGGAAGTAATGGTGTATCAAAAAGGCAGAGGCACTGGAATGGCTTGGTCATACCTTGCTCTGCCTGTTTACCACATACACACCCTGCCCTCCTATTGCTTCTCTTTCTCCCCTTTGTATTTATTGATCTCAATCATCTCCCTGGCCCTTCCAGAACCATTTTGAAAATGGAAGGCAGGAAAGAAGAAAGAGGAAGAGAAGAAAAAGGAAAAAGGAGGTAAGAAGAACGTTAGCATGGTGCCACCAAAAGACATGCCCAGAATAATTAGCCTTTATGTTGTTGGACTGCCGTAGAGTTGATGTTCAACTCCAAAATAAGGTTAGAGTGGTTCTGTCACTGTCTGCAGACAGCCTTTTTAAAATAAAATATATAAAGCTATTTTGAAGGCATCTGGGAGATGCATCTCAGATGTTCTCATTGGTATGGGGCGGCGTCTTTTGGTGAAGTAGAATCGGAAAGACACCAGCAGATGCCAAATAAAGCGTTTGAGTTCAGAAGCAGGAAGAACACGTGCTCTGCCATGTTTCAATTGTAAAAGGATCTCGGAGGCCTGAGTCTGTAATGCCTTGCCTCTCTCCCATTAGCCGAGTCAGAGTCATTTGCCATACCATTTCACTGACTTCAGTAAGCCTCCAGGCCTGGGGTTAAACTTAATCCACATGACTGGCAAGACAGATTCTCAAGAAGGCACCATTCCTAGGGGAGGAAAATATGTTTTGCTCGCTCTGCTCTAGAAAATATACTTACTCTGAAGGTTCTCCACTTGTCCCTGGCACAGAGAACCCCCAAGCTAGCTGCTGGTTGACCCTCCTTAACCCAGTTTCACTGGTGACACAGGCTGGGCTCCTAGAGTGACTCTTGGGATGAAGCTGACCTCTCATTGCTTTGTCTGCTGCGGCTGGGGTCTGGCTTGTTCCATTTTTGCAAATTGCACTTGCCTCCTTCCCTCGTTTTTCTTCTGTTCCTTTTTAAACTTTTCCCCGGCACTCTGACTCTTGCCATCTGTGGGCAAATGTGTGACGGATATATTGTGTATTGGTTGTGAGTTTATATTTGCTAAAGATATAGACGTGGTCATACCCATGATATCGGGCTCTTTTTAAGGAGCTATAATAGTGGGACAACTCTATGTGAAGAGAAGGAAATGAGAAATAGTAAAAGACAGTATAGCTTGATGACTAAAGCTTAGTCTCTCAGAGCCAGCTGTTGGCCAAGCTTCAAGTTTTAGATATGTGACCCTGAGCAATATATTAATATCTCTGTGCCTCATTCTCTCATCTGTAATGAGGGTATAATTAAAGTATGATCTGTAATGAGGATGTAACTAAAGTATTTGTCATCTTCACAAGGTAAGGATAGGAAAGGATAATGTATAAAAAGCACTGAGCATATTGCCTAATGGGTGGTTAACGCCCAATACACATCAGTTATTGTTATTCAAAGAGATATCTCAAGAATGGGTTGTTTTGCATGTGGAATATTTTCTGCTCTGACCCAGTTTTCTTTTTTATTTAGGTTCCGTTTTTTGGGCGGAGGATGCATCACACTTGTCCATGTCTGCCAGGCTTGGCCTGTTTACGGACTTCATTTAACCGGTTTATTTGTTTAGCCAGAAAGTAATCACTTTAGAGTAGAAACTTTAAATGTGAATAGCCACATGATGTCTGTAAAATCTTACTTGTGATTGTGCCAAACACATAACATGCCAGAAAGAAATGCACTTGCTTCCTCAACTCTCCAAGTAACATCTTTATCTTTGATTTTTAAATGATTTTTTTAATTGAAAGGGGATTTTAATTTTGAATAGAAATACAAAGTATGAGGCATTATGGAACTGGTTCTCATTTCCCTGTTTGTATTTAGGTTTAGTTTTACTTTTTTTTTTAAATCTCAACAACTTACTCATTTTCACAAAAATTAGGAAAATCAGAATTTAATATTTTGTTATAGAAACTTTTTTTCTCTCATTGTCCACTCCCCCCCCCTCATCCATGCACCACCAAACACACACACACACACCCTTTGGTCTCTTGCCTCTTAATCCTCAAAGAATTGTAAGGCCTTCACTCCGTTCCTCTCCTTTTCCTTCCCTCCCCTCTAGTGTTTAAAGTGGAAGGAATACATCCACTTAGCTCCCTGGCAAAACTACTGATGAGAATCAAGTTTTTTGCCCGTCATTAAACAGTGAGAAGGGTTTATAGTTGAACTAAGACACTCCAGACTCCTCTTATGGAGTGAAGCTTGGGAGTGCTTCTAGAACTTTCCTGAACCTGTCTATCCAAGTGGACTTCAGCTCTGCTATTTGACTGATGTGAGGACAGAAGGAATGGAAAGCCAAATTAATTTAGTCCAGATTTCTATATTTAGGGTTTTTTTTTTTTTTTAAAAAAGACTTCATCTCCAGTACAATATTACATTTCTTTTTCTATTTACAAATTTTGTTTTTTTAAGTCTCCTAGTTAGAGATGTTCCAGAAAATGCCACTTGAAGAAGAAGTATTGATTTGAATCTGGCATAACACTAGTAGCTATTTTTAAATCGGTATTAAGTTGTAACTTAAGTTGTATTTGTAACTGAAAGGTCGATTGTAATGGATTGCTGTTTGTATTTGTATCAATATTGCTGTGCAAAAATTCTGTATCAGAATAATGACAGTACTGTATATCATTCATTGGATTTATTTTAATATTATATCCTTATTTTTGTCACAATTGTCTTCAGTTTTTATTGCAAGCAGATTTATACATAGGCCATATCCTCACATGAGTAAAGACTCGACAGTTGGTAAAACAGCTCTAACACTATGTGCATTTTCAAATTTTACATCCAGGAAAGTTCTGTGTGCATGGATTCAAGGTAGTACAAAAAATAATGTGTAAATCAGCGAGGTTTCGGAGCATGAAGGAAAATTATGACATGCAAAACTGTAACCAGGAATGATCCTGGGATTTCACTGTATTGATTTGGCAAATAGTGATGAAGTGTATGTCATGCGTGGTTAGGCAGGGTACTAGGCGTGACCAGACAGGGATGCCAGCGTAGGTTGGCCTTGAAAACCCACCAAGTATTGTGAATGGCTTCAGCGTCACAAATAAACAACTTATGAAATGTGTTTAACTGACTACAATTGCCCATGCCAACTCACCAACCATGTCCAAAAACAAAAATTATCCTTTTTGCAGTTATTTACTGAGCCATGGCTTACAGTTGCACATTGTATATATATTATTACCCTTTGGGCTAACACGTCCCATAATTGTATGGAATTTTGCTGTACTAATTACCATGCTTGGTCAGAGAAGGTTTATTTTTAGTCGAATTTAGTTTGTGTCCAGGAAACATTCCTCAGTGAGTTTGTTGGGGGGAAAAATGAGACTTCCGCAAGTAGAATGATAGGCAAAAAAATAGGCACCTCAGTGATTTTGTTAAATTTGTTTTCAGCCTGAGCCTGCGGGTTCAAGACCCGCCTGGGCAGCGAGACCTCATCTCTACAATAAATCAAAAAATCAGCCAGCCGTGGTAGCGCATGCCTGTAATTCCGGCTACTCGGAAGGCTGAGGCGGAAAGATCAACGGAGCCCAGCAGGTCGAGGCTGCGGTGGCCAGGGGCAGCCACTGCACTCCAGTCTGGGCGACAGAGTGAAACTCCAACTCAAAAAAAAAAAACCAAAAAAAAAAAAACAAATTTGTTTTCATATAATATTCAAGACATTATTTTTCATAAGTGGTCAAAACTTAATTGTCAATCATCCATTTTCACCTGAGTTAAAAAGCATAACAAATTCTTATACAATTTTGCTTTTACATATGCCAATCCAACTTTTAAAAAATTACTACCTAAAAGGGTAGACTACATATACACAGCAAAGGGAACAAATATGAGGCGTGTACAGAAAACTAAGAACTATACCCCCTGACTCACTACCATCCAAAGAAAAGCAGAATTTTGTCACCATTCCCCTTGGTTATTATTTTTATTAGTGTTATTGTACAGTCCTATTTGGTGATTTATTTTTAACTTGTTAACCAAAATTAACACTTTCAAATAAGTGTTTCAAAGAACTTGCAATCATGCTTCTCGGAGACTCTTTAAGACACTTTTATGCAAAACATAAAAAATATGCTTCTCGGAGACTCTTTAAGACACTTTTATGCAAAACATAAAAAATCATGTGCTATTGAGGCTATGGTGGTGTTTCTTCCAGCTCCTAGGGTGGTCCTGCACAGATGTTGGGACTTCATAGAACAGAATTTCTACAGGGAAAGGCAAGGTGGGAGTCCACACAAGAAAAACTAAACTGATGGTCTACCTTGATGAAAATACATGAATGAATTCTATCCATTCTAAGGTAGAAATAGCTCTTATGCTAGAAGCTCATGACCAACCCCAAATGGTCTTTGGATTTCTTTGCAAGCATTGCATTTCATGAAAACTGTCGTTTCTGACTTTGTTTTGCCTTTTATCAAAAGCAACATTTATTTTTAACCATAGAAAGGTTTATACCCAAACGATTTCCTTCCAAACCTTCCTGTCTCACTGAGGACCTTCATCTTCCCAGTATTTCGGGGTACTTTAGTCAAAGCCTCTCAAAGTCGGTCCGGTGGTAGATCAAACACATAAACCAGTTTTTCTCTTTCCTGGTTTTAGTATCAGAAATTTCACCCCACTGTTTACTAGCTTCATTTATTAGAAGATTAAAGTTGGGGGGCATTTTAATTTTAAAAACAGGATATTTTGGGTATTCATTGAGGGTCACTGTAAAATTCACTGACGACCTTTTATTATCTGTCTTCATGTCATCGTGTATTTGTGTATTTCAGATAATATCCTGAGGCTTGATACTTATTTCATTCCCATAACATCCTCTAACTTGTTAATTGTCAATACTCCTGTGTTAAAGAGAACCGAATTTCTTCCAGCATTTTCAAAAATTTTAACTGACAAAAAGTGTAGGTACTTATGGTGTACAACGTGATTTTTTGAAATATGTACACATTGTGGAATGGCTAAATTGAGCTAATTAACATATGCATTACCTTACATACTTACCATTTTTTTGTAGTGAGAACTCAAAATCTCTGATTTTCAGGTATATAATATTAATTGTAGTTACCGTGTTGTACAATAGATTGCTCTTCTAGAATTTTAAAATGTATTCTAAAGATGACCATTTTTAACATGACCCTTAGATAAATTTTATTACCCCACCAATAAATAAACAAACATACACACACACACATATTCAGAGTACATATTTTTCAAAATTATAGGTGCAATGAATATGCTGTTTTTGAAGAGCCATTTCCATTTTTTTCCGTCACCCACCACCCCAGGGATTCTGAGTTGTTTTGTCTACATATTGGGATTTTCTAAAGTCTCCTTGATTAATTCTTATGTGCACCCAAGGTTGAAAGCCACTGAGAACAAATAAAGGACTCTATAGAAAGTCTGCTGCTACTCTGTGAGCACTATTTGCTCAGACATCTTTCCAGTTAAATTAGAAATGGAGAGAATAGCTGAGTGTCTCTGACTTTTCATGCCACCCTCAAAAGTTCCCACAGTCTTTGGTCCTCAGCATAAATGATTCCATGTCCTTTCATTCCAGAAGGAAGCCCACTGAGAGGTACCACTTGAGAATTTCAGTGGCAGTTACGTGGTCCCTCGGAAGAATTTATGCAAAGTTCCCTAGAACCAGCTTAGAGAAGCAGGCCCTGGTGCAGCCTGGCAGGACCTGTGGCTCCCTGGGTTTATAGAGTTCTCCCAGTCTGGTGCACCCTCCCAAGAGACCCAGCTCCCAAACTCCCCTGCAGACATTTCCCTTCTCCCAGCCCCTTCCCACACATCTGAGGAATTCATTCTGTTTTACTGGGTTCATAAATCATCAAGATGCTTTAGAAAGTCCAATATTGTACCACAGCATAACTGAATAAATCAGACTGCTAAGCATTTTAATACAATGTATATTTGTCACAAAAGATTAAGAGCAAGAAAGTGGTGTGGGCAACATGATAACTGGCAAGAAAACGCACAGGCATTCTGTGTGTGTGTGTGTCTTTGAGCTGCCCACATGGGGATTCTCTCATCAGGAAACCTGGAATACCCACTCCTGCAATTGTGCCAGCCAGGCACAATGATGGCTGCCTCCATGGAGTGACAACTAGCAAGTAGTTCCTGGCACTCTCCTGGAACTACTTGCTACAGTTGTCGCTCAAACCCTAGACTCCTGTTGGTCTAGGGTTTCTCAGCCTCCATACTAGTGACTTTCTGGGCCATATCATCTACTGTGAAGGATTCTTCTGTGCATTGTAGGATTTTATCACTGGTCACTGCTCACCAGGTACCAGTAACATACCCCAAGTTTTGGCAACCAAAAATGTCTCTCAACATTACCAAATACCCTCTGGGGTTGCCAGGGGGATAAATTGTCCCCCTTTGAGTATAAGTTATTATCAAAGTTGAAAAGGCAATATTTAAAAAATTTAACCTCTAAATGAGACCTTGCAAAATCAATATCTTAAAGAACAAACTATTTTTGCATCCAAAGTAGTGGAAAAATAAATATATTCAATCAAAGAAATCAGTTATCTGTCAGCTGTATGGTTTACTGTTTTTCAAGAAAGACATTTTTATAGTCACTCTGAAAATAAATCTTAGAGCAAAAGGCCCAAATAAAATATATTCCATCAGAGATGAACAATCTTACATCTTTAGAGTGTACTTCTAAGCAAATTCCTACATTGTTTAAATCCACATTTTCCTCATCTTGATTAAAATGTGATAAAACTTATGAAAACTTATTTATTGCAGAAACTCAAAAGCTTTACAAGCAAAATTGGGGGAGATTGTGCTCTATTAAGTTAAATAGTTGAATAACTGTTGGGAAGTTTCACAAACTGAGTTTCCCTGTAGACAAGCTTGAGGCCATCAGGAGTGCATTTGGCTCATTCTTAAAAACAGACAAGCAAATCAACAAACACTTTTT